ATACACTGGTCTGCTGATGGTGTACCACAGGTCCCTTAGACTCTGTTCACTTTTCTTCAATCTTTTTTCCTTTCTGTTCCTCAAACTCAATAATTTTTATTGTCCTATTTCAAGTTTATTGATTCTTTCTTCTGCCTGCTCAAATCTACCTTTGATTCCATTTAATGAATTTTTCATTTCAGTTATACTTTTCTGCTCCATAGTTTCTTTTTGGTCTCTTTTTAGGTTTTCTATCTCTGTATTGATATTTTGATTTTGCTTACATATCATTTTCTTGACTTTCTCCAAATCTTCCTCTAGTTCTGTGAACATCTGAAGATATTTATTTCAGAATCTTACTTTAATATATTTGCCATAAGGTCTTTTTCAGGGACAGGTTTGCTGTGAATTAGCTTTTTTTCTTTGAAAGAGCCATAGTTTCATGTTTTTTTTTGTCTGCCTTGTGATTTTTTTGTTAAAAACTGGTCATTTAAATCTGGTTTCTCTGGAAACCAGATTGTCCCCTTCCCCCAGGTTTGCTGTTTTTCGTTATTGTTTTGTTTATTGTTTTTATTTATTTTTTTATTGTTGTAGGCTGTCTCTGTGTTGAAGATCAACTTGAAGTACAAACTTAAAGTCTCAGGTTTTTTCTGGGCTTTCCCTGAGTATGTGTGGTCGCTTTCTATTTTTCTCTGTATATATAGTTTTGTTTCATTTTGTTTTGTTTTGTTTTTGAGACCTAGTTTCGTTCTGTTGCCCAGGCTAGAGTGCAATCGTGTGACAGCTCACTGTAACCTCAAATCCCTGGGCTCAAGTGATTCTCCCTCTTCAGTCTCCTAAGGAGCTGCAACTAGAAATTCATGCCACCACTCCTAGCTAATTTAAACAACAACAAAAAAATAATGTTTTGGTAGAGATGGGATCTTGCTATTTTGCCAGGACTGGTCTTTGTCTCCTGGCCTCAAGTAATCCTCCTGCCTTGGCCTACCAAAGTGATGGGATTGTAGGCATGAGCCACCTTGCCTCTGTAGTTGTTTTGGAATGTTCTAATCTTTAATGCCTGGCTCCCAAACGTGGAAAAGGAGAGAAATGAGGTGGCATGGGAAGAGCACAGTTTTTTTATATCTTCTGGAAATCACTTCAGCTATATAGGGAGGGGCTTGCAACAATGAGGATAGGTGCGACCACAATGGCTGCCAGCTTCTTTGTCTGTACCTCTGTGATCAGAAGCAGCAATCAGTAATCAGAATACAGATCCCCAATATTTGACAAACAGTCCTTTTGCCCACGTAGCCCACAAGCTATGTGCAGATTGTTCCAGGAACATGTGCACAGATGCCTGCCATGGGGTTGGGATGAAGGATGTGCAGCTACTACTATGTAAAAGCTGCCATTGATGGAAATTTATTGCAATTTGTTGTTTAAGCCTTTCCTTGGAAATTGCAAGCCTTCAGTATAAGTGTTTCCAATATAACTCTGGAGTCTTCCAAAATTGCTACATCTAACAGATTCTGCAGCTACCATTGTTATCTAGGTGAGGAGATAGATATCTGGTGCTTCCTACTCTTGCCATATTCCCGGAGTCCATGCTTGTGTGTTTAAAGTGTAGGAAGTAGAAAAATCAAGAGATATGGAGGGAACCAGAAGAGAAAAAGGATGATAGATAGCCCCCACGAAGCCCAAAATGCAAACCAGTTGGAAGATCTGACCAAAAGGATACTTCAAAACAGATGGGAAAATATTAATCCCATTTGAAAGACTGAATATAGGGCAGGCTATTATTCTATTTCAAAACTGAGGTTAAAGTATAGGAGGTAGGTAGGTGAAGAAAGTACTGGAAATGCTGAAGTAGGCACTGGAAACGCTAAACTAGGTATTTTGGATGTGTTTCTAGAAACTGCAGAGTAAGGCAGATAATCCTACAGTAAATTGTAGTCTCCTGTAGGAACAGTGTTTTTACTACCTGACAAATGATTCGTCTTCAAAAATATCGTTGATATGGTATTAGAAAGGCCAAAATGGAATAGCCATACATTCTTTTAATCACTTAAAATCCTAACGATAGCACTTTTGCCTAAGCCATTGGTGCTCCCTGGAACTAGCTGAGTTTTAATGCAGTGCAGTAGGAATTATTTGCTTCCACAGAGCCGTGTCCTGCTGTGGGCTGCTCCTTCCCACAGTTGGACCTTGAGAAAAGCTATCAATAGTAGTGTTAGAAGAGGGAATGAATTGTTTTTGATTTCTAATTTTATTATAGATTAAAGGGTATACAGGTAGATTTGCTACGTGGGTAAACTGCATGATGCTGAGGCTTGGGGTCCCAATGATCCGATCACCTAGGCTGTAACCATAGTACCCAACAGGTGGTGTTTTGGCCCCCACACTCACCTCCCTACTTCCCCTGTCTAGTGGTCCCCAGCGTCTGTCATTCCCATCTTTCTGATAATGTGTATTCAATGATTAACACCCACTTATAAGTGAGAACATCCAGTATTTGGTTTTCTATTCTTGCATTAAGTCACTTGGGATAAAGGCCTCCAGCTCCACCCATGTTGCTGCATAGGGCATGGTTTCATTCATTTTATGGGTGCATAGTATTCCAGGGTGTATATGTGCCACATTATCTTTATCCAGTCCACTGTTGGTGGGCACTGAGGTTAATTCTGTGTCCTTGCTTTTGTGAATAGTGCTGCAGTGAACATACAGGTACATGTGTCTTTTTGATAGAATGAGTTATTTTCCTTTGGGTATATATCAAATAATGGAAATGTTGGGTTGAATGGTAGTTCTGTTTTAAGTTCTTTTATTTATTTATTTATTTTTTTGAGACAGAGTCTTGCTCTGTTGCCCAGGCTGGGGTGCGGTGGTGCGATCTCGGTTCACTGCAACTTCCACCCCCTCGGTTCAAGTGATTTTCATGCTACAGCCTCCTGAGTTTCTGGAATTACAGGTGCACACCACCACGCCTGGATAATTTTTCTATTTTTAGTAGAGACGGGGTTTCGTTTTGTTGGCCAGGCTGGTCTCAAACTGGTGACCTCAAGTGATCCGCCCACTTCAGCCTCCCAAAGTGCTGAGATTATAGGCATGAGCCACTGTGCCTAGCCTATTTTAAGTTCTTTGAGAAATTTCTAAACTGCTTTCCGCAGTGGTGGAACTAGTTTGCATTCCCACCAATAGAGTATAAGCATTCCCTTTTCTCCACAGCCTTGCTAACATCTGTTGTTTTCAGACTTTTAAATAATCACCAGGGAATGAATATTGAGGGTCAAGGGCCTTTGTAGACTGCTGACCAAGTAGCTGCTATGTATAAAATTGACTATTAGAGAAACCTCAACTACATAGTGCCTGTGAGTTTGATGTTTTGGGACAAATGGAATTTTTTGCCCAGTTAGAGAGGAAGGTAACAGTATAAATATCGCTGATTATGTAACATGCCCAGTGCACTCCAAAGTATTAGCATAGAGTAGATTTAACTCTATCATTTGGTAAATTACTATTACTATAATCCTTAAGTAATTAATCATGATTCTGTTCATCACTTTAGAAAATTTAGGGGAATTATTTTCTAATAACTCTAATAACCTTCTATATTGAAATAATTTTTGATTTACGGAAAAGTTGCAAAGGTAGGACAGAAGGTTCCTCTATAACCCGCACCCAGTTTCTGGGTGATGATTTTGATAGTCTTGGTCTCAGGAGTTCTCAGGAAAGTTTAAAATGATGTTTCACAGTTCCTCCTCTTTCTCTTCCCTCTTCAGATTAGTCAAGCTCTAGCTCCAGCTGTTTAGTGTCAGACCTCAGGGGAACAAAGGCTGCTAAATCTCTTTCTCAGTACTTCTTTGGAAAAAAGCTATAAAAAAACAATTACCAGGTCATGTTAGCAAGCAGAATTAAAGATGAGCTTCTTAAACTTACAGAACTGCTGAGATTTTGAACAAGTTGTTTTTTTGTTGTTGTTGTCATTGCATTTGAGACAGGGTCTTGCTCTGTCACCCAGGCTAGAGTGCAGTGGCATGATCTTGGCTCACTGCAGCCTCAAACTCCCAGGCTCAAGTGATCCTTTTGCTTCAACCCCCCAGTAGCTGGGACTATAGGCACATACCAGCATGCTTGGCTAACTTTTGTAACTTTTTTTGTATAGCCAGGGTTTTGCCACATTGCCCGAGCTGGTCTCAAACTTCTGGGCTCAAACCAGTTGGCCTCCCAGTGAGCTGGAATTACAGGTGTGAGCCACCATGCCCAACCTGAACAGTCTGTATTGAGTAAGGTGTGGATCCCAAGGTTAGGGAACCCCAGATTCCTGGAAGAGAACAATTTGGAAATACTAGTATTTAAGAATATCACTCTTCTCTATGAAAGTGGTTAAGAATGTGACCTTGGAGCCACACTTTTCAAGTTACAGTCCCAGCTCTGCCATTTACTGTAGCCATGGGATATGGGACAAATGACTTAATCTGCCTGTTGCCTCAGTTGCCTCATGTATAACATGAGGCTAATAGGCCAGGTGTGATAGCTCACGCCTGTAATCCCAGCACTTTGGGAGGCTGAGGTGGGCGGATTACTTGAACTCAGGAGTTCGAGACCAGCCTGGCCAGCAGGGCGAAACCCCATCTCTACTAAAATTACAAAAATTAACCAGGCATGGTGGCATGAACCTGTAGTCCCAGTAATAGGCTAGGTGAATGAATCACTTTAACCTGGGAGGCAGAGGCTACAGTGAGCTGAGATCATGCCATTACACTCCAGCCTGGGCTACAGAGTGAGACTCTGTCTCAAATAACAACAACAAAAACAAAAACATGAGGCTAATACTAGTCCCTATCTCAAAGATTGTTGTGAGGGTTAAATGGATTAATACATGTGGAATATTTAGAATAGTCCTTGGCCCAGTAAATGTTAGATATTGTTAACTCAGCTATTATTATCTTGCCTACCAGGACTTGGGAGAATTAAGCGTACCATTAAAAATACTGTTGATAAATTTGGGTTTTTTTTGTGTGTGTGCTTGATTTGAACAGAAACTCAGCCACCTGTGACAAATTTGACTGTCTCTGTTGAAAACCTCTGCACAGTAATATGGACATGGAATCCACCAGAGGGAGCCAGCCCAAATTGTAGTCTATGGTATTTTAGTCATTTTGGTGACAAACAGGATAAGGTAAGTTTTCTACATGTTATATTGATGAGGTAAAGTGAACACTATGAATTGGAGCCAAGAATAAGCCAAATTCTAATCTTACATCAAAGTGGAAATTGTATTTTGGGGTGTGTTTAAATTTCAATTGGGAAAATTACAGAAGCAACTATTGAGACAAGTGAACACTTAAAAACATTTGCTAATTATTTGATAATTAAATGCAATTGACATTGCTCTGACAGAAAATACTGGATATATTTTTCTCTTAGGTACTCAATAAATAATTATGTTATCGTTAAATCTGTTCCTATGTTCCAGCCTGTAGCTGTATCTCCGTGTATCTACATAACACTTAATTTTTCAGGGAATTTTTACATTTACCACCTTGCTAATCACATGGACAAATAGATATACAAGCAATATGTGGTGTAAAAATAAATGGCCATGTGGAAAGTGAAAAAATAAGATGTCAGTGGCAGGTGTGCTTGAGTAGAGGGTTCCCTAATGCCTGAGGAAAAATGAGGAAGACTTTCAAGTTTTCTAGTCAACTGATATAAGTGAATTTTTGTTAATAGGTTTGAATAATTTCAGGTTCTTTATGATAATCTTATGCAACTGTTTATCGTTTTATACCTTCTTTCAGTATGTGTGTGTTTGCTGCAGGCTGCCAGCGGCGGCGAGGGGCTTGGGTGTTTGGGATTGAATTCATCCAGGATTTTGAGTAGGCAGAATGAGAAGTTATTAGTGACAGTGCTTTACATCAGTGAATTGTAAAAGCACCAAGTTCAGGCAGCTTTGGTGGCAGAAAGAGCCAGGAGAACTAGCTTCTGATTGGCACTGTCACTCTTAGCTGACTCTATGGCCTGGGATAAATTGTTTAACCTCTCTGAGCCTTTGTTTCCTATGTATAAAGTATGGCTTTACTCACTTCCCTGGCATTCTGGGACACAGAAAATAATGTATATAAAAGGTTAATAGTCAGGATGGAACTTGCTCTTCCTCTGGAGGGAAATTTGCAAATCTGCCTTCCTCTCCCTTGTCCTGCTGAGGTGTTACTTAGGGCTTAGGGCTTGGGCATTAATTGATAAAGAATTGAGACTTGTCAGAAATATTTGCATTTTGAAAGAGGTCTTCTAAATGTGGAAGCCACTGATATTACTAGCAGTGAGATTGGAGTTTGCCTTTACATATTGTTGGCTTCATCTTCTTCCTCCTAAGGAAGGGCCTTAGGCATTTGGAGTCTTAGTTGTGATTTTTGGTAACTGAGCCTTGAGAAATTCATTCTCTGAATTTCTAAGACCCTAAGTGCCTCTGGCTGTAAACCCTATAATCACCTCAGTGTCTAACTGAAACCCTAAAGAGAGATTACTTTTCAGGTCCCTTTTCCTTAAGCTGTCAAGGAATAATCAGGTAGCCAGGCTGGTATTCTAGCCCAGAAATCGGACTACCTCCTCAGTATACGTACAGAAATTCAGAGTTAAATGTAACTTTAGGAGGCAGTGGAATCAGATAGAATTGTGTGTGAAATTTTATCTCTTCCCCTTTCAAATTGTTTGATTTTGGGCAAATCACTTAGCCTCTCTGAGCTCCAATTTTTTTGTTTGCAAAATATGGGTGTGTTGGGGGGTAATAATAGTACCTACTAAATATGGATGACGTGCATTAAGGGAGATGAGGTTTGTAATGCACCGACACAGAGTTAGTGCTAGGTAATTGTTAGCTTTTACTATTATTACTGTTGTTAGGTTGAGCCATGTGAAATTACCACTTTTACGGGTCAAAATATTTGAATGTTTTCAGTATTATTTGGTTCAGCCTAATGTTATCATTTAATCTTGTTTCTTCCATTTTGCCCCTGAAGAAACTAGATAGAGACCAAAAAGGGTGAACTCTGCCTAAAGCCAGCTCGTTTATTTTAGCCATTTGATAGCATTGATAGTCATCATTCCTGCAGTTGTGATAAACGTGTATCATTCCTTCCAGTCAGTGATAGGAGATGTCCTGTCTGGACCTTTTGAAGTTTATTATCCTGAGGCTGAAAATGAATGACAGAAGTAATTTTCCTCTCCTCTTTCTGTCCTTTGGGTACAGCATTAGCATCATCGGACCAAACTGAGGTGTATTTATCCCTGAAGCATATTGAAGAAATGATATTATGATAGTTTATACATTAGAGGGCTTATGAAAATGTTCAAAGGTCCCAAGTTGCTAAATAAGATAAACTCCTGAGGTCATTTTCGATCTTAAGATTGGAGGCTCATCAAGATGAAGGATGGGGATTTGCAGAAGATTTTTGAAAAAGAAAAGATTAGTGTAAATGGCTGCCCACCACCATTTTTAAAGCAATGTCTAATAGTTCCTCAGCTGGAAGTAGAAGAAGGATCCGTCATCAGACTTTATATATCTTTTATCACTAAGAGATAGGCAAGGTGAACTAGTCAAAAGGCCAGGCATCCAAATAGGCAGATGCTGAAGCTAAGTCCTTTTCTTTCTGAGAAAGGAATTCTGGGGTTGAGAAAGGTACACTCCAGCCAAGTGAACATTGGTCTGGGGAGATCAGTTCAGGACTCTTGCCTTGGTTTTTGATAAATTTCCAAAGGGAACCAGATTCCCTGGGGAGCATAACATCATACAGCAGCTAACAGTGAGGATGATTCACCAAAGCCAGAAGTCACGTGGGAGCCATCACACATGCCTCAAGATCTGATGGAAGGGTTAGGTGCAGTGACTCACGCCTGTAATCCCAGCACTTTGGGAGGCTGAGATGGGCTGATCTCATGAGGTCAGGAGTTCAAGACCAGCCTGACCAACATGGTGAAACCCTGTATCTACGAAAAATACAAAAATTAGCCGGGCCTGGTGGTACACACCTGTAATCTCAACTACTCAGGAGGCTGACGTAGGAGAATTACTTGAATCTGGGAGGTGGTGGTTTTAGTGAGCTGAGATCATGCCACTGCACTCCAGCCTGAGCAACAGAGCAAGACTCTGTCTCAAAAACAAACAACAACAACAACAAAAAACAACAAAAGAGAGAGAGAGAAAAAGAAAAAAAAAGATCTGATGCAAGGAATCTAGTTTCTTGAGTGATACAGAGAGATATGCTTGACTTGGCAGCTGTTGATAATCTGGGTTCCTACTTTATTAGTGCCAGTTAAATATTCTTTACTTTGAACTTTGAAAGATATTTTTAAAAATTATTATTTGTAAAGTCTTTCCCTCTGCTGTCCCTTTTCTAAGTTATGTTATTATTCATATGCCTAAAGCATAAGGTTCAGATTTAGATACTAAGGCATTTTTTATTTTTTATGTTGTTTTATTTTATTATTTTGCTTTGAGATGGAGTCTGCTTTGTCACCCAGGCTGGAATGCAGTGGTGCAATCTTGGCTCACTGCAACTTCTGCCTCCTGAGTTTAAGTGATTCTTGTGCCTCAGCCTCCCAAATAGCTAGAACTACAGGTGCATGCCACCACACCCAGCTATTTTTTTTTTTTTTTGTACTTTTAGTAGAGACAGGGTTTTGCCGTGTTGGCCAAGCTGATCTCAAACTCCTGATTTCAGGTGATCCTGACCTAAGGTGACCTTGGTCTTCCAAAATGCTGGGATTACAGGCATGACCCACCATGCCTGGCCACTAAGGCATTTTTTAAATTAAAAATTCCATTGTGATATTTTCTGTATACGAAAACTCCATAGCCCTCTAACTGGAACAATGTCTATAACAATAAGAAAACTGAGATTTTTTTTCATGATGATTCTAATTTGGCTGCATTTGTACAGTCTAATTTGACATTTGACTGTACATTTTCCCCTGGTGTCTTCAAAGGGAAAATATAGCTTCCAAACAAGAATTGCCAAGGATCCTTGGATAAGGGTGGCTCCTTCAGAGATATATAGGACTTTTGCTTAGTAAAATTGTGAGGTTGGTAAAATTTGTATTCAAAGCCTTCCTGCCACCATTACCATGATCCTGGAGGCAGGTCTTCAGCTTCACATACTCAGAACCCTCATTTTCAGCACACATGCATCTCTCGAGGGCTAATTTTCTACTTTGTTGTGAAAATGGTAATGGTGAAGCATTCTAGGAAGATTTCTGTTGGCATAACTGATGCATTTCATCCCTGTAGCCAGAGCCTGTATGGGAAGCCAAATGTTAAGTAGGTTTCTTGGTGAGGAATCAGAAATTAGTTGTAAAAATGTACTTGTCTAAGAATAGCTGGAGGCCCTACTGAGGGTAAACATCTTTGCTAGTGGGACAGAAAAAATCAATGTCCACATTCCTATATCACTTCTTTTTTCTCCCTGTCAGGATTTTGCTGGCAGACATTTCTCTTTCTGTTCTTCCAGGGCTGACCAACTCCCTTTTCAGAGTGCTGTCTTGACTGGACCTAAGCTGTTCTGCTCTATAAAGTGATTTTGGTTTTGTGTCCTTGCTGTGATTTATTCATTGTTGACTCACTAATTCTCACAGGCCATCCATATGTCCTGGTTTGGGGGGTATCTCACAGTTGCCCTCATGCTCAGCTGGCAGCAGGCATGTGACATGGCAGAATAGCTCCTTAGGGTAGTAGATAGAACTAACTGTGGCAAATTTTCCCCTTCATGGCCATCAGCACGTAGATGAAAGGAAATACTATCTCTAGCTTGAGTTAGAAACTATTGCAAAACAGGAAGCACTCTCCTTGGAGCTCTGATTAAAAGCAGCTCCATTCTTAATTATTCCAACTCTGTCAATTTGGGAAATGTTAATTTCCCAGAGAGCCCATTAATCTCATTATTCTAAGTCATAGTAACCAGATTGGTGATTTATGTCTCTATGGTGTCTATAAATTGGCTTTCTGTGGCTCCACAAAGCTTATCTACTTTTCAGAATGAGAGTGTATATACTCAGCACATATAGCAATGCTTGAAATTTATACATGTATATGAGGTAGTCAAAATAGTCAAACAGTAGAAAAAGAGGTTTAATGAAAAGTCTCTCAGGCCCCCCTCCTTTATTTCCTTACCCAGAAGTAACCACAATTACTGGATTCTTTTTTCTTCTTTTTTTTTCAAGACAGCATCTTGAAAAAAGATTGCATTGTCCAGGCTGGAGTGCAATGGTGCAATCTTGGCTCACTGCAACCTCCCCGTCCTGGGCTCAAGTGATCTTCCCACCTCAGCCTCACGAGTAGCTGGGACTACAGTTGTGAGCTACCATGCCTGCTCAATTTATTTTTTTTGTACAGATGAGGTTTTGCCATATTGCCCAGGCTGGTCTCAAACTCCTGGGCTTAAGCGATCCACCTGCCTCTGCCTCCCAAAGTGCTGGGATTACAGGCATGAGCCACTGCTCCTGGCCTGATTCCTGGATTCTTAACGCATTCCTTTTTTGCCTTAATTTTCATGGTACGGTGCATCTACTTCTAAGTGAATTTTGAAAATCATATTATGTTTCCTTTAAAATTGCTTTTAGAGAGTTGATATGTTAGCATTGTAGGTTTATAGGTAAATTTCATGATGTTTATACATTTAAAATGTGGGAAATTGTTCTATCTGCATCAGGGTTTCTCAGTGGTGACACTACTGACATTTGGTGAAGGGTTTGTTGTAGGAGGAGGCGGGCTGTCATGTATATTGCCTTGTAGGATGTTTAGCAGCATCCTTGATCTCTGCTTACTAGATGCTGGTAGCCTCTCCCTCACAAGTTAGGACAATAAAAAAAGTTCAATATTACCAAATGTACCTGAGAGTGGCAGGAAGAACAAAATCACCCCCAATTGAGAATCACTGATCTATACCATTTGAGAACATTTTTGAAAAAAAAAAACACATTTGGACATGCTAATGTTTTATTATTTAAGTGTGTGTTTGCTAAAGCAATGCCTTTTACAATTTTCTAACCTTAGAAAATAGCTCCAGAAACTCATCGTTCAAAAGAAGTGCCCCTGAATGAGAGGATTTGTCTGCAAGTGGGATCCCAGTGTAGCACCAATGAAAGCGAGAAGCCTAGCATTTTGGTTGAAAAATGCATCTCACCCCCGGAAGGTAACAAGTGAAAGCACTATTTCTTGGTGTTTAGAGAATGAATCTGAATGCTCCATTGCTTTTGTGCATTGTTCATTCAATTCTCAAACATTTTCTGAGTCTAATAAGTGCCAGGCATTGTACTAGGTGCTACCAGCTCAATGAAAATGTGAGTATGTCTCTGCCTTGAAGAAGCTTACAAACAACTTGAATAACAATGCCTAATCATTATATAAAATTTAATAATTTTAAAAATGATATACACGTGTGTGTGCGTGCACATAAGCGCACGTGTACGTGCGTGCGCATGCACACACACACACACACACACACCACACTTCCTTAAATTGAGCTTTACAAGCTTGTCTTATGAAGTAAATAAGGCATGTACTATTACCCTGATCCATTTTATGAGGAAGAAATGAACTGAGTGACTTGCTGTATGTCTTTATATTCCAGGCCCAGTGCTTTAAAAATAAAACACAAAATACTATCTTACTCATTATATATGATAATTAGTTTGCTATGCAGGATATATTTGGGAAAACATGTTTAAAAAGAAAAATATTATGCTGGCCTAGCTCCAATACAACTCTAGACAAGATAATACAAGACAGCCCTAGGAAAAGCTGTCAAGTAGTGAGGTTGATCATTGTTCCCCAGTCCCACCTCACCTTCTGGCTTATGTTACATATAGGGGAGTAGCACATACTGATTAAGAGCAGGGCTACCAGAAACCAACTGTCTAACTTTAAATCCCAGCTCTGCCAGCTATTAGCTGTATAACCTTGGGCAAATTTCTTAGCCCCTCTGCACCTTAGTTTCCTCATCTGTAAAATGGGCATGATAATGGTATCTATCTTCTATGATTACTAGGATGATTACATAAGTCAATATATGTGAGGTACTTAGAATAGTGCCTGGCAAAGAGTGAATGTTTTATATATATTACATTTATATATATTATGTTGTCCCTTGGTTGGGCTGGGCCACATCTCTTACCTCCAGTCCTTAGTTCTATGTGGCCTGTGCTCTAAGCCATTCCATTTACCTGCTTTGTACTGATCACAAATATATGAAGTGCTGTTTGTAAAATTATAAAATTCAGGACTGCCAAGAGGTTTGAAACAACTTACCTGCTCTATTCTCCTTTCCTTAGGAGTTTAAAACAAAAGAAAAATGGCTGGGCACAGTGCCTCACGCCTGTAATCCCAGCACTTTGGGAGGCCCAGCCGGGCGAATCACCTAAGGTCAGGAGTTTGATACCAGCCTGGCCAACATGACAAAACCCTGTTCCTACTAAAAATACAAAAATCAGCCAGGCATGGTGGCACATGCCTGTAATCCCAGCTACTGGGGAGGCTGAGGTAGGAGGATCACTTGAACCCAGGAGGCAGAGCATGCAATAAGCCAAGATCACGCGACTGCACTCCATTCTGGGTGAAAGAGTGAGATTCCATCTCAAAAAAACAAACAACAACAACAAAAAACCGGCCAGGTGCAGTGGCTCATGCCTGTAATTGCAGCACTTTGGGAGGCTGAGGCGGGTGGAATACTTGAAGCTAGGAGTTCAAGACCAGCCTGGCCAACGTGGCGAAACCTGATCTCTACTAAAAATACAAAAATTAGCCGGGCGTGGTGGCAGGCACCTGTAACCCAGCTGCTCAGGAGGCTGAGGCAGCAGAATCACTTGAACTCAGGAGGGGAGGTTGCAGTGAGCTGAGGTCAAGCCATTACACTCCTCATGGCAGCAAGACTCTGTCTAAAAAAAAAAAAAGCCAGGCCTGGTGGCACATGCTTGGCAGGAAAATCACTTGAACCCGGGAAGCAGAGGTTGCAGTGAGCCGTGATCATGCCACTGCGCTCCAGTCTGGGTGACAGAGCAAGGATCTGTCTCAAAAAAAATAATTATTATACTATACTGTGACATAAAATGGTTGATGATGGCTTAGTGTCGTACCCCTTCAAGGATCATGAGGGGTAAGAGGTTTACATTTTAAACAGAAGTGTTTAGTTTAAAGACATTATACTTAACTAAAGATAGAGATTTTAGGTCAGAAAGAAATTAGGGCTCCTAAAGTCATGACACTTAAGAGGCAACTACTAAGAGTTCAGTTAGGCTTCCCTTTCCCCAGAATTGCTTCAGGAGGAATGTTTATTTATTTATTTAGAGACAGAGTCTCGTTCTGTCACCCAGGCTGGAGTACAGTGGCAAGATTTCATGGCAACCTCCACCTCCCTGGTTTAAGCAATTCTTGTGCCTCAGCCTCCCAAGTAGCTGGGACTACAGGTGTGCACCACCACATCTGGCTATTTTTTGTATTTAGAGTAGAGACAAGGTTTCGCTATGTTGGCCAGGCTCTTGTAGAACTCCTGACCTCAAACGATCTGCCCACATTGGGCTCCTAAAGTGCTGGGATTACAGGCGTGAGCCACCCTGCCCAACTGAATGTTTGTTTGTTTGTTTATTTATTTAAAAAAAGAAGAAGTGTCAGTATTTATCAAAAGACAGAAACTTAAGTTGCACCTCAGTAAATTTTTTTAAGACAGGTATATATATATATATATATCATATATATATATATATCATATATATATATCTTATATATATATATCATATATATATATGATATATATATATAAGGGTTGTTTGTATATCCACATTCATTTAGGAATTGTGTAGATATTATCTGTGATTGAAATGGTTTTTGATCTTTTATCTCTCTTTTGAGTAAGGGATATTAATTAGGGTCCCTCAGTGATAAGGAAGATGTTTTCTTTGTATCATGAGGTAAGAGAGAAGGTTGTGAACAAATTAGATTTGGGTTTCCTCCATCCTAGGTGACTTCTGGGTAAAATGGGGTGAGAGATGAAGAGTTTACTTTCTGACGAAGCAACATAAAGCACTCTCATTATCCCCTTTGCTAAAGAGTGATCGCTACTTTGCATTATAAGGAAAGAAGGGTCTTAAACTCTTGGCCTGGTTTTTCTAGGCGATCCTGAGTCTGCTGTGACTGAGCTTCAATGTGTTTGGCATAACCTGAGCTACATGAAGTGTTCATGGCTCCCTGGAAGGAATGCCAGTCCTGACACTAACTATACTCTCTACTATTGGTGAGTATGTACAGTACAATTACTGGAAGACTGATTGTAATTGTGTTGGGAGCCTTTGGATCCAACCTAGTTAAAAAAAGAACAGTCTATTTTTTTCTGCAAACCCAACAAGATGAACAGTTTGCTTCAATGAGAAATGCATCTCCCTTTGCTGTCTACTTTTTAAATAAACTTTCCATTTTCAAATATGGATCCTGTATGTTACCAAAAAAATGTACAGAGAGATCCCATATACCCTTCACTCAGTTTCTCCCAATGGTAACATCTTATGTAACTATAGTACATTATCAAAAGCAGAAAATTGGCATAGGTACAATCCAAAAACCTCAATCCTATTTCAACAGCTTTACATGCACTCTGTGTGTGTATATGTATAGTTGTATGCAATTTTATCACACGAAGATATACAATGGTTCAATCACCACAAGGAGTTGCACTTTTATAGACACACTCACCTCCCTCTTAAACCATCTCTCCTTCACACCCCTCTCCCCCAAGCCTCTAACCTCTGGCAACCTTAATCTGTTCTCCATCTCTTTAATTTTATTAATTCAAGAATGTTACTGGAATGGAATCCTGTAGTATATAACCACTTAAGACTGGCTTAAAAAAATTCAGTGTAATACCCTGGAGATCTGTACAAGTAGTTGCATATCAAGAAGTCACTACTTTTTATAGGTCAGTAGTATTACGTGATATGGATGTCCCTCCCAATTTTTTAAACCATTCATTCATTAAAGGATATCTCAGTTGTTTCCAGTTTTTCACTCTTATGAATAAAGCTACTGTAAATATTCACATACAGATTTTTATATGAACATAACTTTTCATTTCTCTGGAATAAATGCCCAAGAGTGTAATTGCTGGGTCATATAGTAATTGCATATTTGGTTTTATTTTTTTAATGCCAAACTGTTTCCTAAAGAAGTTAGTTCACCTTACATTCCCCCTAGCAATATATGAGTTATTGATTTTTTTTTTTTTTGAGATGGAGGCTCACTCTGTTGCCCAGGCTGGAGTGCAATGGCACAATCTCGGCTCACTCCAACCTCCATCTCCTCTTCAAGCAATTCTCCTGCCTTGGCCTTCCAAGTAGCTGGGACTGCAGGCATGAGCCACTGCGCCCAGCCTGATGTCTGTTTTTAAAAAGGAAAATTATATCATGTCTGGAGCCATAAAGTAGTTTGTTTATTGATTCATAGATTGAGATAGAGTCTTGCTCTATCTAGAGCAAGGCTAAAGTGCAGTGGTGCGATCTTGGCTCACTACAACCTCTGCCTCCTGGGTTCAAGTGATTCTCCTGCCTCAGCCTCTGAAGCAGCTGGAATTACAAGCATGTGCCACCATGTCCAGCTAATTTTTGTATTTTTAGTAGAAACAGGGTTTCAACATGTTGGTCAGGCTGGTCTCGAACTCCTGGCCTCAAGTGATCTGCCCATCTCAGCCTCCCAAAGTGCTGGGATTACAAGTGTGAGCCACCACACTCAGCCTCAAAAAGTATTCTTTAGCTTCCTGTAGAATAACTTTGATGTTTTGATATTTGATCCTTTAGTATTTGGTATTTGTGACTATATCTACTACAATGTTTGTTACATTTCTAAGTTAGTCTTCCATCATTTCCTTTAGAGCCTAGAATTATTAGCAACAGAACAAGAAAGGAAGGCCAAGTTAATCTGGTTTAATTCAGTAAACTTTTATTTAGAACACCTTGTGTATAAACCACTGAATGTACAGCAGAGACAAAAAACATGTCTCTTCTCTCCTGAAGCTTAAAATATAGAGGAGGAGATAGTGCCTGATACAGTGACCTGCATTAAATTAAATAAGATAGTGTATGCTGAAGGCTGTTGCAGAGGGATAGATAGATTCCTATGGGAAGTTAGGTTGGAGCTTGGGGTAGGGTTGTGGGAAGGTGGATGGGTGGATGGAGAGGAGACTGGGAAGATTTTTTTTTTTTTTGAGACAGAGTCTCACTCTGTTGCCCACGCTGGAGTGCAGTGGCACGATCTCGGCTCACTGCAACCTCTGTCTCCCGGGTTCAAGCAATTCTCTGCTTCAGCCTCCTGAGTAGCTGGGATTACAGGTGCCCTCCACCATGCCTGGCTAATTTTTTTTTTTTTTGTATTTTTAGTAGAGACCGGGTTTCACCATGTTGGTCAGGCTGGTCTTGAACTCCTGACCTTGTGATCCACCCATCTCAGCCTCCCAGAGTGCTGGGATTATAGGCGTGAGCCACTGTGCCCTGACCTCTCTCCCCCTGGGAGGCTTTGGTGAAGGAGGCAGACTGCCCAGATGAGGGAGTTTCTCTGAGGCTGGCCTCTGGGGAAGAGCATTTTGAGAAATGGAGATATTTAATCATTGTGATATCAGGGTAGAGAAGGGGAGACCTAGCATAGGCAGTCTGCCCTTCACGTGACCTTGTTATTTGTCCTTATCTCAGCCCAGACACCATTTCCACTACAGAAAGTCTTCCTTGACCTCTCAAGTCTAGACATGTGTCCCTTCCTCTTGTCTCATGGCACCTTGCAATTTCTTGCGTCATACTACCCTTGACTGTCATTTGTTAAGACTGCTTCTGAGAGAATGGGATGTGAGGGACCATGTCCAGGACTTGTGAAGCTACTGGAGAAACATGACCTTTCATGCTAAAGTGTCTATTTTGCCTGGTGACATGATGGAAAGAATTTTTGGTACATTAAAACATTCATGGCTATATCATGAAATAGAATGCAAAAGAAACAATCACATACATTTTTGGATGAAAACCTCTAAAATTGCCCTGGGATTCACATCCTTATTCCTCCCTGGTGGAAGGATCTTCCTGGCAAAGTTGGGAAATGCTTCAGGCGAAGCCAGAAGTTCTGTGTGGTTATGTCTGAGGTCTGTTTCTTCCCCCCATCATGTACATCTCATTTAAGGTTTTGTAGTTGCATCTGCTCACTCTTGGTACCTGTTATTTCTCCTTTACTTAAAGCCCTTCAGTGGCTCCCTGGTGGCTTTAGGTTAAAGTCCAAACTCTCCACCACGACAGACAAATTGCTTTATGACCTGGCCCCTGTCAACCTCTCCAGACTCAGTTGCATCTGCCTCCATGCACCCCTGCCCCACCCCTGCAGCCCACCATTCACCCACAGCAAACTTCCTTCAGTTCCTCAGACTGATTCTTCAAATAAACAGAACACCGGAATTCGAACAGAATATTCAAACGGAATAGTAGAAGCATTCTGCATCCTCTTGTAGCCTAGGCCTTTCCTCTTCACCTGGTTGCCTCTTCTTTGTTCTTAGCTCAGCTCAGACACCATTTCCTCTCCAGAAAGCCTTCCTTGACCTCTCAAGTCTAGACATGTACTCTTTCCTCTTGTCTCACGGCACCTTGCAGTTTCTTGTGGCATACTACCCAGCACATTGTGTTGTTATTTCCTGTCACTTGGTGGTAGCTTGCTACAGGCTGCAGTTTCTCTTGAGAGCAGGAGCTGTGTCTTGTTTCTCTTGGTGCCTGATATATAGTAAATATCCCATAAATAAGTTTTGAATGTCTGATAGGATCCAAAGCTAGAGAATATTCAGGGTTGGGCTGATGACTTATGAGTTATAAGTAACTGAGGAGTATTACCATTCATGAATAAAAAGAGAGAAGGATTGAGTAGATCTAGCTCCCTAAAGGATTGCTAAGAAGGGGCCAAAGAACTAAGCCTTACTAAGGCTGTTGATATTTCAGTAAGGTTTAGGGAGAGCCATTACACAAGCCTTTAAGATGTCTTGTGAGTTGGTAGCATGCATGTGTTTATTATGCTATTAACCCCTGTTGTTTTCCCTGGAGTCATTATTGGTAAAACCGCAGGGAAAGTCTTAAAGAATCTATATCTATATAAGGGGCTGGAAAAGAAGGGAGGAAGTCTTAAAACTATCTCATTCCATGGCAGACTGTGTAAGACATTTTCCCAGCTATTAGAATGGTGGTAGCACTGCAGGCAGATGGTGGCCTAATCCTTGGGGCTCTTTCAAGACAAAAATAGGGAGATACCTTGGGGATATAGTAGTAAAAAACACAAGTCTCAATGTAAATTGTTAAAAGAATGTTCCCTCTAGGTGAATGAATTACAAAGAAAAACTGGACTGACCAATTTGAAAAAGCATTCCTCTTCCTCTGGGCTGAAGCAAGCTCTCACCAAAGCTGACAGCAGATGATACTTGGGCTGGCTTTCAGCCATCAGTTGATGTCTTTTTGCAGGGCACAGTCTGTATAGTCACTGGAGGTGGCTCAAGACACAATCCCAAGATAGTGGTGGGTCACTAGCATCTGAGGGGTCAGATATCAAGGATCCAACTTTTTTTTTTTGACATAGCGTCTTGCTCTGTGATCATTGCTCACTGTGGCTTTAACCTTCCAGGCCCAATCCATCTTCCCACATCAGCTTCCCAAATAGCTGGGACCACAGGTGTGTACCACCATAGCCGGCTAATTTTTGTATTTTTTGTAGCGATGGGGTTTTGCCATCTTGCCCAGGTTGCTCTCAAACTCCTGGACTCAAGCCCACCTTGGCCTCCCAAAGTGCTGGGATTACAGGCATGAGCCACTTCACCTTTACTACTTCTTGTCATACATGATCCCAGAGCTGGTCATCAGCAGGGGCTCTTTCTGTAGTGTAGATCTGTGCCATCCTGTATAGGAGCCACTGGCTACATGTAGCTAGTTACATTCTAATTTAAATGAATTAAAATTGAATTGAATTAAACTTCAGTTGCTTAGTCTCGCCAGCCACTTTCACAAGTGATGAGCAGCTCTTGTATTGGACAGCACAGATAGCAACCATTTCCATAGTCCCAGAAAGTTCTATTGGATGGTGCTGATACAGATTCTGTATCTTATGCCCTTACCACCCCACAGATTATTCTTTCTGGAGCCACACTGCTTAGGTTGAAATCCTGACTCTTTTCCTTTCATCACTGTGATTTTGGGCAAGTCCTTTTTCTCTCAGCCTTAGTTTTATAATCTGTAAAATGGAGATAGTAATAATAGTACCTCCTTCTTAAGGTTGCTGTGAGGGCTAGTGTTTAGAGCCATAACTAGCTGCTAGCATATGTAGAGTAAGCACTCAATCCATGATAGTTATCAATACTGTTTTTTATTATTATTATTATTAATCCACACTCCCTTGCAGATGTAGTCAGTACTCAGTGCTGGCCTCTTCCCCTGTCTCACAGAATTAGTACCTAACCCATACCTCCTTCTTTCTTGCTTTCCCCTATATAGATCCTTTCTAACAAAAGCCACAAAAGAAAGGGAGTCAAGGCACAGTGCTCATTAGCAAGCACCAGAAATGGTTTAGGTACCAGTATAAATCACATCAAACTGCCAAAGACTGTTTTCTCTAACCTCTAACTAGGAAACATGGAGTGTTTTTTTTGTTTTTGTTTTTTTTAGAGATGGAGTCTTGTTCTGTCGCCCAGGCTGGAGTGCAGTGGTGTGATTTCGACTCACTGCAGCCTCTGCCTCCCAGGTTCCAGTGATTCTCCTGCCTCACCCTCCTGAATAGCTGGGATTACAGGCACATGCCACCACACCCGGCTAATTTTTGTATTTTTCAGTAGAGATGGGGTTTTACCATGTTGGCTAGGCTGGTCTGGAACTCCTGACCTCAAGTGATCCACCCACTTCAGCCTCCCAAAGTGTTGGGATTATAGACGTGAGCCACCGCATCTGGCCTGGAGTCACTCTTTGAAATCAAAATAATTCATTGAAGCCCTAGGGCAATGACATGTGTTCCTGCAGGGATAGTCTGGCATTGAACAGACCCTGGCCTGAAGAGCTGCAGACTAGTCATGCCAGTGAATATTAGGGAACTTTTTTTTTACCACATTAATCATCTTCTGAGTTGGGAGAATAGTCTTCAATTTGCCAATTTACTTTTCATATCTGCAGTGTGATTCTGCAGATAAATTCAGTGTATAATTTTAACAGGAATCACCTGCTGTTTTAGGTTAATGTTTCACAAGAATTCAAAAAATGTTACCTATCCATTTTTTCCCTTCTATAACTATTTCTAAATTACAACAAAATTGTTTTAAAATTTTGTATCTGAGATCCATGAGCATATGCAAAATACTGAGGGTACAGAAATAAAAAAGGGATCAAGAAGATTGTGCATTCAAGGAGTTTCTTTCACCATTAAAAAACAATTTTACACATAGCTTTCTTTAGTTATGTAAGAAAAATATCATTAAGTTTCTTCAGTTTCTGTTTTTGGCCATGGGCGGAAAACATTCCAGGACTGTCTGATCCAAAAACTAGTCATGACAATAACTTTATTTTTACAACACTGTTTTCTTCATAAACCACAGGAGGCTGCAACTAGGGGGAAAAGCTTACGTACTACTTATTGAAGGAAAAAAAAAGCATTTTCTATATTGAAGCATTTTTTTGTGCAGCCTTTGAAGGAATAAATACATTAGCTCTGAGTTTTTTTTAGAAACCTGATTTGCAGTAGAATCTCCTGGAGAATTGCTGTTCAAATGCTGGTTCCTAGGTTCTGGCAAAAACCTTCTAAATTAGATTCTCTGGAAGAGGGTTTGAGGAACCTGCATTTCAGAGTACTACAGAGGATTCTGAGGTAACAGGTTAAGGATTTGAGACTGTTTACTCTTAGTAAATTTTTCTTAGAATTGTCTTCCTTTTCTACAAAACTTTTGTGCAACTCCCTTTGTGGCTGATGATGTAAGACCTGACTCTCTGTCTTCTGCCAGTTACTACAAAACAGAGTTCTCTGATAGCCTAGATTTTTTTTAAAAGTTTAATAAACACATTGTCTGCTTACGCTGGGCTAGGTGCTGATGATCTTTGGGGAAAGGTATGTGTAGAAGTGAAAGGGGAAATAAGGTACCTACAATACTGCTTATGGAAGACATTTAATGCCACACAGTAGAATGAGACACTTACAAAGCCATTGTGTTTTAGAACATTTACCTGGCAGTGATTCGAGGACAGTAATAATGAAGGTCAGGAAGGTCAATCTGAAGAGGCAATGGAGCCTGTAGTCATTAGGGTATGAATCTCAGGGTGTGGGCAATGGGAATATCATAGAAGATGTGGATCCAGGAAGCTTTCCAAAGGAAGAAAGAACAGAATTTGGTGATAGAATACAGCGAACAGAAAGGGGGGAAGGTGATTTAAAATTATCTAATCTAGGAGCCCAAAGGAAATGAGCTCTGACTGATGGAAATGGGAATGTTGGGAGAAAAAACAGTTTGGCAGGGAAGAGGGTGCATGATGTGTTTTGGACACTGGATTTGAGGCAATGGTGGGACACTCAAATGGAACAGTAGGAAATCTGGGACTAGTTCTGAAGTGAGAGGTCAGGATTAGGAAATCCCAACAAAGAAACCATAGTCAAGGGATGGGGGAGTGATAAACTGGAGGTGAGTGCTCGAGGGAGTCAGAGAGAGAGAAGAATGTGAGTAGCCCTCCTACTCCTCCTCTGCTGAAGCAGGGAGGAGGGAGCAAAACAAGCCAAGAAACCAGGAAGGAGCAGGGCAGAGGGACCAGAGGAGGAATGGTGGGACCTTCTAGTCCCAGCCTTACAATGTCTTCTCTTATACAGAAGAAATAGGCTCCTATAGTCTCCATAGCTGCTGACAGTACCAGTGTTCATCATAAAGAAACAATCTAGGTTGGGCACGGGGGCTCACACCTGTAATCCTAGCACTTTGAGAGGCCAAGGCGGGTAGATCACTTGAGGTCAGGAGTTTGAGACCAGCCTGGCCAACATGGTGAACCTTGTCTTCACTAAAAATAGAGAAATTAGCCAGGCATAGTAGTGCATGCCTGTAATCCCAGCTACTCAGGAGGCTGAGGCACAAGAATCACTGAAACCCAGGAGGTGGAGGCTGTAGTCAGCCAAGATCACACCACTGCACTCCAGCCTGGGCAGACAGAGCAAGACTCTGTCTCAAAAAAAAAAAAAAAAAATCTTTTCTTCCTAGCATATGAAATGAGTCACATTGTAAAATAGGTTTTGTTTTTTTTTTTTAAGTTCTCTTGCCTGTTGGTTTTCATGGACATCTTCAGTCATTAAAAAGAATTCTGCCTAGGCCGGGCGCGGTGGCTCAAGCCTGTAATCCCAGCACTTTGGGAGGCCAAGGCGGATGGATCACGAGGTCGGCAGATCGAGACCATCCTGGTGAACATGGTGAAACCCCATCTCTACTAAAAATTACAAAAAATTAGCTGGGCATGGTGGCGTGTGCCTGTAATCCCAGCTACTTAGGAGGCTGAGGCAGGAGAATTGCCTGAACCCAGGGGGCGGAGGTTGCGGTGAGCCGAGATCGCACCATTGCACTCCAGCCTGGGTAACAAGAGCGAAACTCTGTCTCAAAAAAAAAAAAAGAATTCTGCCTGCCTGCCTTCCTATTTTTCTTTCTTTTTCTTGCTTGCTTTCTTTTTCTTGCTTTCTTTTTGGGGTGGGGGTAAGGGTCTCACTCTGTTGCCCAGGCTGGAGTGCAGTAGTGCAGTCTCAGCTCACTGCGTCCTTCCAGGTTCAAGAGATTCTCTTGCCTCAGCCTCCTGAGTAGCTGGGATTACAGGCGTCACAACATCTGGCTATTTTTTGTATTTTTGGTACTGACAGGGTTTCACCATGTTGGCAAGGCTGGTCTCCAACTCCTGACCTCAAGTGATCCCGCCTGCCTCAGCCTCCCAAAGTGCAGGGATTACACGTGTGAGCTACCGCACCCAGCCTGCTCTTATTTCTTGAATACCTGTTGAATATAATGCAGAAGATTGTCTCATTTTATCTTGTAGGCACAGCAACTTGGAAAACATTCATCAATGTGAAAAGATCTATACAGATAACCAATACTTTGGTTGTTCCTTTGATCTGACCAAAGTGAAGGATTCCAGTTTTGAAAAAAACAGTGTCCAAATAATGGTCAAGGATAATGCAGGAAAAATTAGACCATCCTTCAAAATAGTGCCTTTAACTTCCCGTGGTAAGTTTTAGAAGTCCTCTATGACGGTGTGGATAAAAAGTGTGTTATATCTTTTGCACAATCAATACAAATAATAAAAAAGCAATCATTTTGGTTTTAAGATCTTCCAGAAACAAGGGATTACATTGATGTGTAACTTTCTTTGATAGATTTTTTTTAAAGAAGCCAACTTGGAAATTCTATTTACTCAGCACATGTGCCAGATGCTTCATCCTTTTTTACTTATGAGTACACTGAGACTTAGAACAGTTAGTTGTAGAACCAACATTGGATTTGTCTTAGTTCATTGTTTGTTAGTTTCTGAAATTCTGTTATAAGCAACAGAATACCAGAAACTCGGTAAATTATAAAGAAAAGTAATTTATTTCCTACATTTCTGGAGACAGGGAAGTAGAAGGTCAAGGAGCCAAATCTGGTGAGTGCCTTCTTACTTGGGGGTACTTTCTGTTAAGTCCCAAGGCAGCACAGGGCATCACATGGTGAGGGAGCATGCTAGCTCAGATCTCTCTTCCTCTTGGTACACATCCACCAGTCCCACTCCCATGATAACCCATTAATCCATTAATCGGTGAATAGATCAATCAATTCATGCAAAGCCCTCATGACCCAATCATCTCTTAAAGACCCAACCTCTCCATGCTGCCACACTGGGGATAAAGTTTCAACATGAGTTTGGGAGAAGATAATCATTCAAATCATAGCAGGAACCCAGTTCGTCTGATCTATTCTCCCGATACTTAAGAAGACAATGCTCATGTGATCATATAGAGTTCCTGAACAGTCTGTCTCAGAAAAGGTATAGATTGAAGGTAGTATAATCAGTTGATATTCAAAATATTTTAAATTCTGTATGGCATGGTCACTGATCAGTTAGAAAAACCAATATATCCATACCTGTGGGTGCCAGCTGCATGTCAGCCTGTTAGAAAGCCCCCTCAACTTGAACACAAAATATCTGATTAGGTTCTAACTCTTCCACTTTGTGCAAAATATCTGATTAGGTTCTAACTCTTCCACAAGGCATATAAACCTCTTTCAAATATTTCCTTGTCTGTAAAATGGAAAATATAGTAGTCTCTCTCAATCTAAAAAAATTGTCATAAGGTCCAAATGACATAAAGCATATTAACTCATTTTGTAAATTACTAAAGCAAATTCCATAAGTGTAATGGCTTATTTGTTGAAATATTCCAACTGGGAGCTCAGATTCTGGCTAAGTGTATACAGATGATTTATAAGCAAATAACTATTCATTGACAAGTGCTCCCAAGTCCCTGAGCAGAACACTATTTCCCATCTCTTCAAATAGTCATGGGGAAGTAAATTCTAATAGGGTACCAAAGTCAGTTTACTTTGTAGGCCAAGGGAGTGGAGTTGGAGTATTTTGCCCAGTGGAGTAAGCTGAAGCAGAGCCCTTCTCTTTGTTTGGCATATTATCCTAGATGACCTTTCAGGCTTATTTTGCTGGTTTTCTCCCTGGATATTAATGGTGGCATAAAGGAAGAAGGAAGATTCTTCTCAGATGGAAGATATCTTCAAGTTGTTTTCTCTTAATTACCCATTATCTTCTGTTGCTTGGTCTTAAGTGTAGCTGACTCCTGAAAAGGTAAATTGACCAGGCTAATGCATTTTTTAAAATAAATTATTTTTTCTTTTTCTGAGACAGGATCTCACCCTGTTGCTCAGGCTAGAATGCAGTGGTGTGATCACAGCTCACTGCAGCCTTGACCTCCCAGGCTCAAGCTATTCTCTCACCTCAGCCTCCCGAGTACCTGGGACCACAGGCATGTGCCACCATTCCCAACTAAGTTTTGTATTTTTTGTAGAGATGGGGTTTTACCATGTTGCCCAGGCTGGTCTCGAACCCCTGACCTCAGGTGATCCACCTGCTTTGGCCTCCCAGTGTATTTTATTCTTAACAGTGGTTATAATCACACAACATTAAAATTACCATCATAAACACTTTAATGTTTGGTACAGTTTGGTAGTGTTAAGTAGTATATTCACATTGTTGTACAGCAGATCTTAAGAACTGTTTTATCTTGCAAAACCAAAACTCTATGTTCATTAAACATTAATTTCCCCTCCCCCAGCCCTTGGCAACCACCTTTCTACTTTCTGTTTCTTTGAATTTGACTACTTTAGATACCTCATAGGAGTGGATTCATGTAGTATTTGTCTTTTGTGACTGGCTTCTTTTACTTAGCATAATTTCCTTGAGGTGCATTTATGTTGCAGCATGTGTCAGAGACTAAGCCAATTTTTTTTTCCTAAGACAGACTCTTGCTCCATCACCCAGTCTGGGTTGCAGTGGTGCAATCTCGGCTCACTGCAACTTCTGCCTCCCTGGTTCAAGCTATTCTGCCTCAGCCTCCTGAGTAGGTGGGACTACAGGGGTGCGCCACCATACCCCCAAATTTTTGTATTTTTACTAGAGATGGGGTTTCACCGTGCTGGCCAGGCTGGTCTCAGACTGCCTGCCTCGGCCTGCCAAAGTACTGGGACTACAGGCTTGAGCCACTTCGCCCAGCTCTAAGCCAGTGTTTTAATGGTGGTCTTTGATTGGCATTAATAAGTGACAACTAGGGAAGCCCTTCGTATCTGGTCCCTTGTTATTCATCAGGTAGAAGTACATCTGGACCCAAGCACCTTTTTATTCTCTATGTTACATTTAGATTTCCTGATTATACCCTGGCCATTTTCTAACCAGCTGCAGGTCAGAGTTCATGCCATCTGCCAGATACCCCAAATATGTTCCTTAAATCCATTTTATTAGCCAGTAAAATTTAAATTTCACATATTTTAAATAAACTTCTCTATAATTGTGGCTAATCAGAAATTTTAAAACTATATATCTGACCATGAAAGGTCACTAAATGCGTCCGCTCTGTTTTGATTTAACTTTATGAACCCTACATATATATGCAGTTATCTCTCAATATTTGTAGGGGATTGCTTCCAGGAACTTTCAAGGATACCAAAATCCATGGATGTTCAAGTCCCTGATTTTAAAAATGGCATAGTACTTGCATATAGAATATGCACATTTTCTCATATAGTTTAAATCATCTCTGCATTACTTATTAATACAGTGTAATTGCTATGTAAATAGTTGTTATATAATCTACGGAAATGAGAAGAAAAAAGTCTGTACATGTTCAGCACAGAAACTATTTTTTTAAAAAATATTTTCAGTTCATGGTTGGCTGAATTCATGAATGCAGAATCCATGGATATGGAGGGCCGCCGACTCTGTGTGTGTGTGTGTGTGTGTGTGTGTGTGTGTGTGTGTGTGTGTAATCAAACTTTGGAAGCTTACTTGTGTTCTATTTTTGTCTTTCAGTGAAACCTGATCCTCCACATATTAAAAAGCTCTTCTTCCACAATGGTAACCTATATGTGCAATGGGAGGATCCACAGAATTTTATTAGCAGATGCTTATCTTATGAAGTAGAAGTCAGTAACAGCCAAACTGAGACACTTGTTTTCAACGTAAGGTTTTAAAAAGTATTGTTTTTCTTTTACTTGAATATCTTGCATTGAAATAGCAATGAAACATAGCTCTTATGTTTTTCACCTTATGATAATGATGATGGTGATAATGAAACTTCTTGTCTAAAATGAGGCATGGTGGAAGACTTGAAGATTTATGGTATAATAGTATCAGCTGCAAGTTTCAGCTATTTATTAATTCATCTGTAGGCTCCTTAAAATGGCCTATTAAAAATAAGTCATCTGCTCAACACATTTTTATTAAGTGTCTTTTGTGTGCTAGGGCTAAGGCAGTGAACATGACACCTGACAAGTTTTTTTTCTTCATGAATCCTCCATGATAGAAAATGTATGTAAATAAGAAAGCTAATTTCAGAGCATGAGTGCTGTGAAGAAAATAAAATGGGGTTATGTAGAGTGACTGCGAGAACCAGAGGGAATATTAGGTAGGGAAATCATCTGAAGTAATGACAGCTGAGATGAGACCAGAATGATAAGCAGGCACTAGCCATGCGAAGATCTGGGTGTGGGGGTCAGCAGATACAGGCTTTGAGGCAAGAATGAGCTTAGCATGTGTGAGAGAACAGAAAGGAGGATGGTGTGGCCAAAATGTAGCAGGAAAAGAGGTCTGAGCAGTAGGCAGACATTGATCACGCAGACACTTGGAGACTCTGATAATACCATTCTCTTTCCTTGGAGTTTGTGGCAACTAAAGTAATCAAATTTGAGTAGTCAGTATTTGTTGGATTATGTGACTGTATGCTATTCAGAATCAAATGCAGAACATGCTAATTAGAGGTCCTGTAGGACATTGACCAGAATGTGCTATAATCTCAGGACATCCATGCCGTTGTTCTGCTTCAGGGCAAACGTCACAAACTAGGGCCTCACACTTTTTTGTTTGGAACAGAAAGTCGTGTTTTGTTTGTTTCTTTGTTTACTAGATTTGAATTTTTTGCCCAGATTTTAAATCATAGTACCTTAAGAGTGTATGTCCATAAGATGGCGCCTTAAGACCAGGAAGACAGCACCACTCATTTGTTTGCTACCTCCCTGGATCCTTTGTGTGTTTGAGTTTTAGACATTAGAAGCAAAATGTTTTTTATTGGCTTTTAAAGGAGCCTAGCATCTCGCATGTGGGTAAATTCCTTGGTCCAGTTGTTTTAGCTCATCATGCAACTTTCAAAATGCTTGCTAAAATAAGCCAGTGTTGACAGGCTGTAATTTCAACTACAGAGGGAGTGACCAAGTCCACAGGAGAACAGAAGAGCAAATGCTTTTCTGGGCATTTGCATTATGAATCCTTCTGCTGAAATGTAATAATCATTATTAGTACCAGAAATTAAGTGCCCTATGAAATACAACAAAGGGAAAAAACTAAGGGCTTCCATGTGGAAGGGGGCTTGTGCTTGAATTTACGACAAAAGGAGTTATCAGAAAGCTGAAATAAGACTTGTTTACTCCAGTCTTTACCGTTCTCTCATCTCTGAAATCCTGAGACGCATGCTGCTTATAGTATTCATTTTGCCACTCCATTATTTTCTTGCTGTTTAACCTATCACATATATGCATTTTCTCTCCAATGAAAATATAAACTACAGAAAACCAAAAACCACATGTTCTCACTTACAAGTGGTAGCTGGACAATGAGAACACATGGAGGGGAACAACACATACTGGGGCCTGTGGGGAGTTGGCAGGGGGAGGGAGAGCACCACGAAGAACAGCTAATGAATACTGGGCTTAATACCTGGGTGATTGGTTGATCTGTGCAGCAAACCACCATGGTACACTTTTACCTATGTCACAAACCTGCACATGTACCTCAGAACTTAAAAGTTGATATTTTAAAAATAGAAAATATAGACTCCTGTAGGAAGGAGTCAGGTGCTATCTACTTTGTGCTGTTCCTGCTACTAAATAGCAGCTAACATGTATTGAGTGATTACTGTGTGCTAGGTGTCTTAATAAGCACTATATCTGAATAGTTTCATTTAGTCTTCACAATAACCCTAAGGATCTAGGTCCTGTTATATTGTCTCCATTTTACAGATAAGAAAACTGAGTTATTCCTAAGGTCACATTTCTAGTAAGTGGTAGAATCAATATTTAACCAAAATTGTAACTCTAAAACTTGGATTCTTAACAACTAGAGACCACCTCAGTACTTCCTCTTAATAGCAATAACCATTATTCATTAAGTGTTTATGGCATGCTACAAAGATACTCTTCTATGTGCTTCTTAATACAGTATCTCATAGCAACCCATGAAATAGAAACTATTTTAATCTACATTTTATTGATGTACATTTTAACCTACATCTTAGCCTTAAAACTAAGGCTCAGAGAGGTTAAGTAACTTGCTACAAGCCACACAGCTAATAAGTCAGTATGAATTCAAAGGTTAGTTGGTCTTCATGTGTTAAACTTTGACCAAGAATACTTAGTATAACGACATATGCATAATCATCACTTAACAAATTATTATTGAATTGAGTTACGTTTTTTTTTTTTTTTTTTGCAAACTTCTGAACTGAAGAGGACACATACACTATGGAAGTTACCTACCTAGATCAGAACTATTTTCTATTTGGAATTAACTCTGTTTGTACACTTGAGTTTAATGTTTTCTCTCCTAGTAGACATAGAATATCATCAGTTTTTTTGTGTGCTCACTGATTTTGAGCTCTGCTGCTTAGGCTTTTTTTCTTTCTTTCTTTTTGAATAATTATTTTGCCTGGTGTTACACTTAAGGGGGGAAGTATGCTGGAACATGAACTGGTACCATCACATGAGGGCTGTGGTCAGAGGTAGCTCATGACAGAATAATGATGTGAGGAACAACTTGTCCATGACCACCCACCGCCTTACCCCCAAACTTCCCAGCAAACTAACTTCTTGTTGCCCTGGCTTTCCTTCTCTTAGTGGTCTCTGAATAGCCAGTAAACTATGCAGGGGGATTTACATTTGAACAAGAGCCTAGAGATCTAAATCTACAGATTGATTCTTGGAGTTTGGAATTTCTATATATGGAAGATGGTCCAGGGGAGGAGGGGCATCAGTTTGCAACTTGATCTCTCAACTGGTAGTTGACACTTATGATTCCCCAACAGATCTATGATTCTAAATGGCCAGTAATATAGTAGCCCCCAAGTGGTTTTTTTTTCTGAACCCCTGTATGAAACATTGAAAGAATGTCCCTTCATCATTTGCTTGGCATCTTAGCTCTTCACACATGCTGGTAGAAACCATTTAGTGAATGACATTAAATGTCAAAAATAATAGCTATGTGTTACGACCTTTGTTCCATGTTTAAATGTATCTTTGATAGAAGTTGACTATTTAAGCAATAGATTGTCATGTGTTTTTTACTCCATTTTTGAAATACTTTCATTTAAGGAAATTAGTATTATCTATACATTAGACAGCAAGTGACTTCTATTGTGTGGAGGGAAATTTTGCATTACACTTTCTTTTCTCCAACCCAGTCATGTTTTATATCTTATATTTAATAAGGGACACTGATCTCTCGCTCCCTGTCTCTTCTTTTTAAAAGTTTTTACTGAGGTATAATACACAATAAAAATTACACAAATCTTACGCCGGGCGCGATGACTCACGCCTGTAATCCTAGCACTTTGGGAGGCTGAGGTGGGTGGATCACCTGAGGTCAGGAGTTCAAGACCATCCTGGTCAACATGGTGAAACCCCGTCTCTACTAAAAAAACAAAAAATTAGCTGGGCATGGTGGTGCATGCCTGTAGTCCCAGCTACTCAGGAGGCTGAGGCAGGAGAATTGCCTGAACCCAGGAAGCAGAGGTTGCGGTGAGCCGAGATCGCGCCATTGCACTCCAGCCTGGGTAACAAGAGCGAAACTCCATCTCAAAAAAAAAAAAATACACAAATTTTAACCTATATAGCTCAATGATTTTTCACCCGTGTAACCAGCACCACAGAAGCACCCTCATAATCCCCTTTAGTTGCTATCCTCCCAAAGAGCAGCTACTGTCCTGACTTCTAATCCCATAGATTGATTTTGTTGTTACTTTTAAAACTTTATGTAAATAGAATTATACAGGATGTACTTTTTTTTTTTTTTTTTTGAGACAGTGTCTTGCTTTGTCGCCCAGGCTGGGGTGCAGTGGCGCGATCTCAACCCACTGCAACCTCTGCCTCCCAGATTCAAGAGATTCTCCTGTCTCAGCCTCTGGAGAGCTGGGATTGCAGGCATGCACCATCACGCCTGGCTAATTTTGTGTGTGTGTGTGTATTTTTTAGTAGAGACGGGGTTTCTCCATGTTAGCCAGGCTGGTCTTGAACTCTTGGCCTCGTGTGATCCACCCTCCTCAGCCTCTCAAAGTGCTGGGATTACAGGCATGAGCCACTATGCCTGGCCCAGAATGTACATTTTTGTGTGTTCACCCTTTTTTCACTCAACATTATGTTTATGAGATTCACCAATGTTGTTTCCTATAGCTGTAGATGGTACATTCTCATTGCATTCATTCCATTGTGTGAATATACCACATTTTATTTATCCACTCTTCCATTGATGGACATTTGGATAGTTTCCAATTTGGTTTTATGAATGGAGTTTTTATGAATATTCACATACTTGTTTCTTGGTACACATGTACGTACATTTGTGTTGGGTATTTATATAGGCATATATGGGTCATAAGGTTACATATGATTGTCTCTAGTAGATAATAAGTTTTCCTAGATGGTTGTGCCAGTTTTTACACTACTAAGCAGAAATTTTGAGTTCTAGACGCTTCATATCCTCACAACACTTGGTGTTGTCAGGTAAGTGTGTGCATTCTTATCTTGTGCACTTAATTTGCATTTTTCTCATGACCAATGAGGTTGAACACTTTTTCAGATGTTTATTGGCAACTTGCCTATCCTCTTGTGAAGTTCCTGTTTGAGCCTTTTGCCGGTTTCTTTTTTATTGAATTTTCTGTTGTTGCGTTATTGGTAGGGTAGGAAAAAATATATATGCAAGTCCTTTGTCAGAAATTGCAAATATGTTCTCATACTCGATGCATTGCCTGTTTGTTTCCCTGATGAGGTGTCATTTGATCAACAAAAGTTTTTAATTTTAATATAAATGACTTTATTTAAAAATGCCCTTTATGGTTAATATGGGTTTATTTTTTTTGGTCTTGTTTAAGAAATATTTCCCTTCTTCAAGGTCATTAAGATATTTTCTACATTTTCATCTAAAAGCTTGCTATAGTTATGTATGTATGTATTTTATCTTACACATTTAAATCTGCAATATATCAGGAACTGATTTTGTGAATACTATGAGGTAGGGGTCAAGATTTTTTTTTTTTCTCATATGCATATATAATTGACCCAGCACCACTTATTTAAAAAGGCCAACCTTTTTTCACTGTACCTGGTCATCTTTTAATAGGATAAAAGGAAAGGTTGTTAGAAATGATTAAGTGATAAAAAAAATGGGTTTTTAAACATTTAGAACTCATTCTCTCTCTTTTTTTTTATTTTCTAGGTTAAGGACGAAGCTAAATGTCAGAATCCAGAATTTGAGAGAAATATGGAGGTCGGTAAATTCAACATTAGCTATTTGAGCTTAGACTTAGAGCAGTTGGGGGTGGAGCATAGTATAAATCTGAGCTGCTTTGAGAAAAATGAACTACTTTGTTCTGTGAATTATTGCCAATTTTTTTCAAGAGTCAAAAATAATTGAAATTGCAATCCAAGTCTTAATCATAGACAGAATTTAGCAGATAATTATATTATGATTCAACAGCAATGAAAAAAGTATAAACTGGTAATATTTCTTGTATATTTTTTATTTTATACCTAAGAATACATCTTGTTTCATGGTCCCTGGTGTCCTTCCTGATACTTTGAATGCAGTCAGAATAAGAGTCAAAACAAATGAATTTTGCTATGAGGATGACAAACTCTGGAGTAATTGGAGCCAAGAAATGACCATAGGTAAGAAAACAGAATTTTTATTAAATTGAAAACATCGATGCTTTAAAAACTAAGCTGAAGCAGAAAATAGACTGGGGAAAGGGACTGTCATGCTCTCTTGATGTCAGGAAAAGAGTACTTACGATTGAAATTTATTTTCTTTTTAATCACTTTCAAATCACACAGGGTTAATTTACAGTATAAAGTTCTTTAGGAAACCATAATCCAAATGGTTTTATCTTCTTCTGTGTCTCATTTCCATTTTATTAGCAAACCGAACAAAAAATATAGAAAGCAGGCATAGGCTGGATACAGTGACTCACTCCTGTAATCCCAGCACTTTGAGAGACTAAAGCAGGAGGATTGCTTGAGCCCAAGAGTTTGAGACCAGCCTAAGCAACATGGTGAAACCAGATGTCTACAAAAAATACAAAACTCAACCGGGTTGTGGTGGTGCACACTTGTGGTCTCGGCTACCCAAGAGGCTGAGATGGGAAGATCACTTGAGCCTGGGAGGTGGAGGTTGCAGTGAGCCAAGATTGTGCCACTGCCCTCCAGCCTGGGTAACAGAGTGAGACCCTGTCTCAAGAAAAAAAAAAAGAAGGTAGGCATAATCAAATTTGCACTTTGTATAGTATTAGAGACTGTCCTACATGCTGGTTGGCATAAACAAGGGTGGAGCCATTTAATAGACAGAAACCTGTATCTAGGTTTGAAAAACTCATTTATTAATTGAAAGGCTGAGCAAACCAGGCTCACGTACAGGACTGGAAAGACCTGTGCTTTATGGATGTGTGTGTGGTGGGGTGGGATACGGGGCTTTATTTGACTATAAGTGCAATGTGACTCAACATTGTAATCTAAAATGTGCCAAAAAGGCATATACAATCTTAGGAATGATAAGTGCAGCACCCAGAAGGGAATATTGCAAGTTTGACACAGAGCTATGGCCACATCAGAATTGTGCAGTATTCCATTCTGAGCACCACATTAAAGGAGTTGCATTGGCAGACTGGAATCTATCCTTGAAAGGGTAATCAGGATGTTGAAGAATCTCAAAACTTGACAAGGAACAATTGGTAAAATAACCTTGAGGAGTCATGATTGCTGATTTCTAATATTTGAGGTATTGTCAGGTGCAAGAAGGAATAGGCTTTCCTTTCTGTTTCTCCAAGGGGCAACACAGAACCAACTAAGAACTTTTTAAACAGCTGTCTAAGTCAAACAGGTTGTTGAGGTAGTCAATTCCCTATTAATTGGGAAGCTCAACAAGTTATGTGCCAGGCACGGTTGTATTCATTTGTTTATTGTTGCATAACAAATTACTCCAAAGTTTAATGGCTTAAACCAACATACATTTACCATCTCACAGTTTCTGTGGGTCAGGAGTCTAACCACAGCTTAGCTGAAGGTCTCATGAGGTTGCAGTCAAGCTGCAATGAGAACTGAAATCTGTCTGAAGACTTGATTGAGGACAGAGAATCCACTTCCAAGTTCACTCTTGTAGTTTGTTGGAAAGCCTCATTACCTCACTGGTTGATGGAGCTGTAGCAGGTTGAATTGTATCTCACAAAAAGATATGTTCGTAGGTTCCAACTCCTGGTACCTGTAAATGTAACCTTATTTGGAAATAGGATTTTTGCAGATGTAATCAAGTGAGGATGAGGCCATGCTGGATTAAAGTAGACCCTTAATCTAATAACTAGTATCCTTATTAGAAAGAAAAGCCACACAGAGCACAGAGACACAAAGATACACAGGGAAGAAAGCCATGTGAAGATGGAGACAGAGATTGCAGGAATGCAGCTACAACCAAGGAACACCAAGGATTCCTAGGAGCTACAAGAATCTAGTGAAGAGGCAAGGAGGGATTCTTCTCTAGAGCCCTCAGAGGCAACATAGCCCTGCTGGCACCTTCATTTTGGACTTCTAGCCTCTAAAACTCTGAGATGATACATTTCTGTTGTTTAAAGCCATCTAGTTTGTGTTAATTTGTTAGACAGCCCTAGGAAATGAATACAGAGGCTTCCTTTAGTTCCTTGCCACTTGGACCTCCCCACAGGGCTACTTCCTGATATGGAAACTAGCTTTCCCAAGGGAGTAATCCAAGCAAGAAATAGAGTGTGAGAGAACACTCAATATGGGAAACATGGTCTTTTATAACGTAACCTTAGAAATGGCATCCCATTACTGCTGCTGTTCTATTATTTAGAAGTGACTCAACTAGTCTAGCCCATGCTCAAGGAGAGGGGATTACACCAGGGTATGAATATCAGGAGTCAGGAATCATGTGGAGTAATCTTAGTGACTGCCTAAAAGACTGGTGCCAGGCCTCGATGATGCTTTCTAGATGTTCATGACTTAGTGGGAAAAATGAATGTGTATATAAACAAGCGATAGTCTATGTGTTAGATATAGCAAGGCAGGCTTTGAAACTGGACAATGGAACTGGAATTTGAGTCCGGACACCATTATTTACTAAATCCTTCTGGATGACTTACTAAAGGTCTCTGAGCCTTATCTTTCTCATCTGCTTAAATGGGAGATAATGCTGTCATTATAGCATATATAAGATAAGCATGCAAAACCATGTAGTATGGTATCAAACATACAGTAGGTGCTTATTTAAGAGTAATAGTTAGGATTATTTTAGGTATTTTAGTAGTGGTAAGTAATCAGTAAGAAAACGTAATCACTGTTAATGAGATGACATATTTAATATAGCATCTTTGTTAATAGTGTCTAAAACTAGTTAAGATTGCCTGATTTACCTGAGCTGGCGGGAAAAACCGGCCCCATGAGCATCCTCTGGGCTGGCCCAGTGCACAGGGGGAGACGCTCCATGGCTGGTCCTCCCTCTGTCAGCCCATGCGGCCGCCATGACCTGGAGCACCACCTCCCGGGGCGCCCACCAGCTCAACAGCACCACATTGACGTGGCAGCTCTTCCCCGCCTGCAACCGCTGCTGTTGGCTAGCATCACACTGCAGCTCTTCTTCTATGTGGGCCTGGCCTTCATCGGTCTGGACCTCTATTACTCCTCCAGCAGCATCAAGGAGCTGGAGTACAACTACACTGGCCACCCGAGCACCAGGAACTGTTCCGTGTGTGCCACGGCCTGCCAGGGCTGGGCACCACCGCCTACCTGCTCATGTGCCTGGTACTTCTCACCGTCTGAGCTCTTCCAGGGCCCCGTGTACCCCTACTACGTGCTGACCAACTTCTGTCAGAACAACCGGTGGTACGCAGTATGCTGCGACAATGCACAGCTGAGCGGGCTGCCCAGCACACTGCACCACCCAGTCAATGGGCACATCCCCTGCACCACCTGCCTATCGCGCACCCTGCAGCGCCATCACCAACAGCCTCTTCAATGATTCCTTCTCGCTGTGGCACCAGCGCCAGCCCTGCGGGCCCTGCATGAAGGTGCCATGCTATTGCACTGCACCGGAGCTACCACACTGCACCAGAGCTACCGCACTGCACCAGCATCGCCCAGTAGACTGACTACCCCCCCAAGTTCCACAACCCACTGCATGTCAACTGCAGCCTGGTACTGGCCTTGCATGGCACAGCACCCCCACTCCACTGGCGCCGGCCAGTCTATGATAAGTTCAGCCCCATCTCCAACAACATGGGCTTCATCAACCAGGGCTTCGTGGTGTGGATGCTCATGGTGGCGCTGCCCACATTCCGCGAGCTGTATTTGCACATCTGTTAGGGCTACTACTCAACCTCGTGGCGCCTACGGCGTCAACAATGCCTACAACTATCCTGTGCGTGCATTCGGCAGCCACAAGCTCCGCATCTTCAGCAGCATCTTGTGGATGGCTGGCAAGAACCCCTTCCTGGGCATCGCCTACCTGGTCGTCAGCTTCCTCTGCATCCTCACCGGCTTTATCATTCTGGTCATCTACATTCACTACCAGGACCAGAAAGATGACGCCGATGAGGAGGAAGGCTGATTCCAGCTTTCCAACGACCCTTCCTGCTGCTTGCTAAAACTCTCACGAGCTTCTTTCAGCCTCTCCCCTTTACTCCTCATCCTATTCCAGTCTCTCCTCGCTTTTCCTCCCTTTGTGAATGAGGGGGCCAGAGAAGGGACAAACCCCTTTGCTCTTGGGGGCTGCTAGAGTCTCTTGCCTGGTGGTGGAGGGTTGACTGCAGAGTGAAACATCCCTTGCAAACTCTCCCTACCTCCTCCATGATACCTTGCCATGTTAGGTTCTTCAAGTCTGAGAGTGGAAGGGATCCCTGTAGAAACTCATTTTCAACCCCTATCAGAAGAAGAGATTGAGAGACCTAGCAATGTGAAATAACTCAGTCAAGATCAGGCAGCTAGCAAGTGGTTCCTGATGCTGAGGCTAGAGCTTTTGCCACTACAGTACAGTGGTTTTCTTTTCTTTGTCGGGAGAGTGGGTTGGGATGGAGAGTGAGGCCCACAAATTACCTGCAGAGGCATGGAGGGGTGTGGGAGAGCATATTTGTTAAATATACAGGTAGATTAGGAGGCATCAACCCCAGAGATTCTGACACAGTAATGCTGAGGTGAGATGCTTGAAGCTGTTTTAACAAACTCCTCTGGAGACCTCCATATTCCCTCAAATTTGGAAATCACTGCTCTGAACCAGGTTGGACCTGAAGCAGTCACCTGAGTCCAGTTTTTCAGGTAGTAATCTGTTCCCAGAGACAGTGACACCATAATGTTGCAGGTTTGTTATGGCTCTCTACCTTAAATATAGTAAACTATTAATGACTTGTAGAATTAATTTTTTTTAAAATCACTATCTCTGAGCTGGGAGCGGTGGCTCATGCCTGTAATCCCAGCTCCCCGGGAGGCTGAGACAGAAGAATCAATTGAACCCAGGAGGTGGAGGTGGCAGTGAGCCGAGATGGTGCCACTGTACTCCACCCAGCCTGGGTGACAGTAAGACTGTCTCAGAAAAATAAAATATAATATAATAAATAAAATAAAATTTAAAAATCACTATCTCTGGAAAACTAGTTGGTGTACAGACTTGTAGGACAGGGTTTGTGTCAATTCATTTGATATTTTCATATAAAAGCAAACAGGCAAACTTTACCAGGTACTGTGTAGAAACGTGAAGATGTGAGGCCAGTTTGTACAGTTCAGAGGGAATGCTTTGACTGTAGAATCAGATAGCTGGAAGAGATCTTTGAGGGAAAGTAATTTCCCTAAAGTAACACCTATGTCTCCTGGCCCAGTCTTTGTCATTTAATTTGTGTGTGTGTGCACGCATGTGTGTGCACACTAACAGAGGGCTACATTCATACCTTTTCTCTTGGATCCAGAAAATTGTTTATGTTTGACAATGAAATATGTTTGTTTGTAGTAATCATATTTGAATCAGTACTAAGGCATATATAGTCTTATATGTAAACTAGAATCTTAAGATTATTTGAATCTTTGTGATAATGTTAAAAGTCTTAGCTAAAATCATTCCATTGATTTTATTGATTGACTAACATTAATCAGTATGTTTAAAGGTATTCTAAGAAGCAATAGTTTTATTTTAGAAACCTGTCTTTCATGGCAAAATAGCTTAAAATAACTTAAAAAAAAACCCTTTGTGATACGTTACCAGTTTACATGCTAAAAGCAAACAGTTATTTGGTATCTGTCAGACAGAAATTCTCAGTGCCTGCTGTCTGTTATAACTATTTTCCAGTTACTAGTCATTCGTTACTACTTATCCTTATTCATTGAAAGCAGTGCAAAATCTTGAAGTGTTTTTTAATCAGTTAAGAAATATTGTATTGAATAGTTTGCATTCTAGTTTTTTTAATCTAGTTACTGAACAATGAACAATGTGCATGTCACTGACATCTGTCTCAGAGCTTCTGGGACAATAATGATTTGAGAGATTCTATCCACTATTACATATACCAAAATAATTCCAATGTGTTGGCTTCCCAGCTTCTGAACATGACACAATTTTATTATCAGATTTTGTATGGTGATTTTAGGCTATGAAAACATGATTATTATGTGTACATAGAGTAATTTTTATTTGTTATGAATGTTTGAACAGCTTGCTAGCCCAGCCCTCCTCTATTCTGAATAAGAGAGTTTGCTACATTTTTTTACTATGTAGTTGAGAATAACATGTATTTTGTCATTTTTAGAATGGTCCGTTTATTTCTATAAAATTTTAAATGAGGCTGGGCCCAGTGGCTCATGCCTGTAATCCCAGCACTTTGGGAGGCCGAGGCGGGCAGATCACTTGAGGTCAGGAGCTTGAGACCAGCTGGCCAACATGGTGAAACTCCGTCTCTACTAAAAATACAAAAATTAGCCGGGTGTGGTGGTGTGCACCTGTAGCCCCAGCTACTCAAGAAACTGAGGCAGAAGAATCACTTGAACCCTGGAGGTGGAGGTTGCAGTGAGCCGAGACCATGCTACTGCACTCCAGCCTGGGTGACAGAGTGAGACTCTGTCTCAAAAAAAAAAGTTAAATGAGACCATGAAAGTTAAGGGGTTCTCATTCTGATTAAATTAACAAATATGGTTCCAGGATCTATTCTCTGAGTTTTTGAAAGAGAATAAAGCTTATGTTTGTCTTTAAAAAAATATCCTGATTTCAGGTAATCTTTAAGGTGTTTGCTCACCCAGGGAAGTTCAGGTACCAGAGGAGGACTTTTTGTTTTTTTTTTAACTGTTAAGATAACAGAAGATAATTGGAGAGTTTTGGAAAATAGGTTGGGGGAGGGAGCAGAAATATTTGTGATCTTACTAGTTAACAGAATTGCTGCTTGGTCTGTTACTAAAAGCATTTTGTTTCTCAAGTCCTGCTGTTTGCTTTTCATTCTCCAGGTAAGAAGCGCAATTCCACGCTCTACATAACCATGTTACTCATCGTTCCCGTCATTGTTGCAGGTGCAATCATAGTACTTCTGATTTACCTAAAGAGGTAAGGTAGCTGCCCAGGCAGGCTTTATAGTTTCTGCTAGCCTGTTTGCTATGGTTATTACTGTTAGTGCTTGTGTTTTATGTTTGGTCAGCGTATTAGAAGCATGTTGACTGCAAGTGGCTTTTGGGAATATGACATGACAAGGAAGTATTACTATGCCCCTTTCCTTCCTTCCTTCCTTCCTTCCTTCCTTCCTTCCTTCCTTCCTTCCTTCCTTCTTCCTTCCTTCCTTTCTTCCTTCCTTCCTTCCTTCCTTCCTTCCTTCCCTCCCTCCTTCTCTCCTTCCTTCCTTCCTTCCTTCCCTCCCTCCTTCCTTCCCTCCTTCCTTCCTTCCCTCCTTCCCTCCTTCCTTCCTTCCCTCCTTCCCTCCTTCCTTCCTTCCTTCCCTCCTTCCCTCCTTTCTTCCTTCCCTCCTTCCCTCCTTTCTTCCTTCCCTCCTTCCCTCCTTCCCTCCTTCCCTCCTTCCCTCCTTCCTTCCTCCCTTCCTTCCTTCCTTCCTTTTTCTGAGCCAGAGCTTCACTCTGTCATGTCATCCAGACTGGAGTGCAGTGGCATGATCTCAGCTCACTGCAGCCTCTGCCTCCTGGGTTCAAGCAATTCTTGTGCCTCAGCCTCCTGAGTAGCTGGGGTTACAGGCGCCCACCACCGCACCTGGCTAATTTTTTATATTTTTAGTAGACGGGGTTTCACCATGTTGGCCAGGCTGGTCTCAAACTCCTGTCCTCAAGTGATCCACCCACCTTGGCCTCCCAAAGTGCTGGGATTACAGGCATGCTGCTGAAGCACTGTTCCCTTTACATGTGTTTAGGATTGTTGAATAGGCCCTGTATTCACTTTGCCCTTTCAAAATCCTAATCTGTCAAGTTAGTCATTAGTTCTTGGAAAGAAGCTTTAGAAATGGAAACAATTACTAATAAAAATGACTGTCTGGGCTGGGCACTGTGGCTCATGGCTGTAATCCCAGCACTTTGGGAAGCCAAGGCGGGTAGATCAAGATATTGAGACCATCCTAGCCAACATGATGAAACCTTGCCTCTACTAAAATACAAAAATTAACTGGGTATGGTACCATGCACCTGTAGTCCCAGCTACTCAGGAGGCTGAGGCAGGAGAATTGCTTGAACCTGGGAGTTGGAGGTTGCGGTGAGCTGAGATCACACCATTGCACTCCAGCCTGGCAACAGAGTAAGACTCTGTCTCAGAAAAAAAAAAAAAAAGACTTGTCTGGTATTAATGCAAAGCAGTCTACTACTTAATATTGTGGGAAAGAGAACTTCACCAAGTTGTCACGAATGGATAGTAGTCATTCGTTGAGAATATTTTATTTTCTGTTTCACTATAGGGACTGTTATTTGCTCTTACAGTAAATAACTACGGTTGGAATAATGTTATTAAGCTGAATCCAGAATCAATATTTTATCATTATTTTAACATTTATTTTATATATATTGAACATTATTATATATATATATATAATGCCTATTTGTGAAGCAGGCACTGTTCTAAGGTGCTAAAGTTACAGCAGTGAACAGGACTAAAGTCCCCATCTACATTCTAGAGGGAAAGATACACAACATGCACACACACACACAAAAAAAATAAATAATAAATACTATGATTTCACATAGTGAGAAGTATAATTGGCAGTAGCAGGGTGTGACTAGGGAGTGATAGAAGGTTCATTTTACATAGGATGGCCAGAGGACTCCTCTCTGGGAAAGTGACATTTCAGGAGAGACTCCCAATAAAGTAAAGGAGTGAGTCATTCAAATATTTGAGGAAAGAGCATTCCAGGCCAAGGGAACAGCAAATACAAAGGCCCCAAAGCTGAAATGCACTTGGTTTGTTTGGCTGGAGTGGAGAGTGCAAGGTGGAAAGTAGCAGCAGGTGAGGACAGAGAGGTTGGCCAACCAGATCATGCAGGGCATGGCAAGGAGCTGAGATTTTATTCTAAGCATGATGAGGAGCATTGAGCGTTATGAGCAGAGTAGGTACATGATCTGAGTTACTGTCATAAAAGATCATTGTAGTTGCTGAGTGAAGAACTGACTTGGGCAAAAGTGGAAGCAGATGAACTAGTTCGGAGGCATTGCAGTGTTTTGGCAGAAAGATGAGGAGATGAGGATAACCTGTACTGTGGGTTAGCAATGGAGATAACAAGAAGTGGTGAGAAATAGTATATATTTTGAGAGTAGAATTTGTAAGACTTGCTGATAGTTGTCTGTCTGTGGAGGTATGAGGGTAATTGAAGATTCAAAGATAACTTAGGTTTTTGGCTTGAGCAACTGAGTGAATGCTGGTGCCATTTACTGGGACAGAGAAGACTGTGAGGAAAGCTAGGTTTGAGGGAAAGATAAGGACTTCACTTTTGCACATGTTAAGTTTGATATGCTTATTTGATATCCAAATAAAGATGTGAAATAAGTGATTGAATGCATGAATCTGGAGTTGACGGGAGAGGTCTGGGCTGGAGATCTAATTCTGGGAATCCTTGGCACGTGAATGGATTTAAAGCCCTAAGACTGAAGGGAATGCTCATAAAGTGAGTGAGATAGACAAGAAGACAAAAGACAATCCTGGGGCACATCCATGGACACACCCTGGGAGATGGAGGCGAGCCCACCAAAGGATGCTATAAGATTGAAAAATGGAGAAACGTAAGAAGAAAAAGAAAAAGAGGAATGTATTCTGTTCTCAGAAGACTTTTTTTTTTTTTCCAAATTATACACAACAGGCGCCTATCTGGTCTATTAAAAGTAGAGCAGCATTATCATTTAGATGATAGGGTATAAGTGATTCACTTATCCTGATGGTCCCTGTGCTCCACCTATGGGCAAGAATGGAACTGAATGCCCTTAGAACATTGATTTTCGTGTACCCTATTTTAGAAATTTCTTTACAACTGCCTTGTCAATAAAGATGACTTGTATACCATGTCTTTTGTCCATGTCCTCTTTTAATATTTATTAAGTATTAAATAATATGGTATTTATGTGGGACACTCCTTTGGACTGGAAGGTTTGAATATCTCTGTTTTCTTAAAGGCTCAAGATCATTATATTCCCTCCAATTCCTGATCCTGGCAAGATTTTTAAAGAAATGTTTGGAGACCAGAATGATGATACTCTGGTAAGAAAGATTTTGTGGGGCTTGAAATTTTTTTTTTTTTTTGGAAGCTATGGGATTTTTAAAAATTGTGGGAAGTATCCATAACATAAAATTTACCATTTTAAGCATTTTTAAATATACAGTTCAGGCTGGGGGTGGTGGCTCACACCTGTAATCCCAACACTTTGGGAGGCTGAGGCAGGAAGATCACTTGAGCCCAGCAGTTTGAGACCAGCCTGGACATGAGACCACTGTACCCAGTTAATTTATATATATATATGTTTTTTTTTTTTTTTTTGCAAGACCCTGTTTCTACAAAACGTATAAAAATTAGCTGGGTGCAGTAACATGTACCTTTAGTCCCAGCTACACAGGAGATTGAGGTCGGGGGGGATCCCTTGAGCCCAGGAGTTTGAGGTTGCAGTGAGCCATGATCATGCCACTGCATTCCAACCTGGGTGACAGAGCAAGATTCTAGCTCAAAAAAAAAAAAAAAAAGAGTATACAGTTCGGTGTCATTAAATATAAGTTGTGCTACCATCACCACTATCTCTTTCCAGAACTTTTTCATCCCAAATAGAAACTGTGCCTGTTGAACAATAATTCCCCATCCCCTCATTCCTCACACCCCTGGTAGCCTCTATTCTACTTTCTGTCTCTATGAATTGAATATTCTAGGTACCTCCTATATATGAAATCATACAGTATTTGTCATTTTGTGTCTGGGTTATTTTATTTATCATAATATTTTAAAGTTTCATTCATATAGCATGTATCAGAATTTCATTTTGAAATTAGTTCTTATAAAGTAGAATTTATTTTTAAAAATTTCGAAGAAGATCTGATTTAAAATCAGTCCAAGCATACCAGTTAAGAAGTCTTCAGAATACTTTGCTCATCTCATATGACTGGGCTCCATTCACTCTCTAGGTTTGGGGATATATTTTATCAAAACATGCAGTGGGAGGGGCCTCCTTTATGAAGCTAGCCTAATGGGCAGGCCTTCTGACTCCTGGATAATTTATAAAACTTGATGTGGAGAAATAGAAACATATGGTAAGCAATTGAAATGCATTGTGTTCATGTTGTTTCTTGGAAAGCTGGACTCCAAGACATAGAAGTGGAGCAGCCCTACCCCACACATTTGGTTTCCTTCAGACTCTCATGCTAGAATTTGTGGCTAGAAAAACCTAAGACATTATGGGAATAAAAGGGTTTGAGGTTTCTATGATAATACATCCACCCTACTGAAATAATAAAGACACTAAATGAAATAAATATCATTATCATTGTGTATATCTTAAAGGAATAATAACAGGCATAGGGCAGTTAATTTAGGGAAGTAGTACTGCATAGTAGATAATAGCCTGATTTCTGGAGTCAGATTGTCTGGATTCATATCTCTGCTGTGTAATTTACCATCTTTTTGACCTTGTATAATTTCCTTAGTTGCTCTGTGACTCAATTATTTCATTAGTAAAATGGAGATAACAATAGCACCTGCCTCATAGGGTTATGTGGATTAAATTAATTTAATACCCAACAATTAATTGAATGGAAACTACTTAGCCTACCTGGCACATTGTAAGTGCTTAATAAGTGTTAGTGATTAACATTACTATTGATAATAATTTGTTTTTGTCTTTAATCCCCAAATAGTTATTGTAATAATGGGTGATTCTCAATAGCAGTGATGGTATTTGGTTAGGGAGCAAAGGCAGAGAGGCAGATAGGCTATCAGAGGAGGATTCATTTGGATCACTTTTTCACCAGGTCATCTTCACAGACAGTAGATAACTCTGCCAGACCCTGGGAGTCAGGGCATGTAGATCCAGAAGTTAGATGCCTGATGAGGAAATTGTATGCTGTATCTGGAGCAAGTGTGGTAACTATGGTTCTCCAACTTTAGTTGAGTCGCAATCTACTGGAGTGCTTATAAGAAATACAGATTTCTGGGCCTTCCCTCCAGAAATCCTGATTTGGCAGGTCGGGGATGAGTTCTAGGATTCTGCATATTTAACAGGAGCCCATAGATTATCTCTGTCCTGCTATAAGAGGCTATGGATCACACTTTGAAAATCACTGATAAAGTTATTTACCCCCATCTCTTCCTTCATTTCACCAGCTGTGATAGATGCTGGAGGCTGGGAATTGTACAAATACTCTAACAACTTTTACCATTATTGAAAGTCTGCTATGTGCCAGACAATGTATTAAGTGCTTTGCCTATATTACCTTATTGAATCCACATAACCACCTTATGGAGAAGATGTTCTTAGTATTATTGTACAGATGAGGAAATGGAGCTCCAATGAGGTTAAGCAATTTAGCTGCAGTCACACAGCTCGTGGTGGAAAGGTAGAATTTGACCCAGGGCTGTCTTATGCCAGACTTTTCTTGCTCTTTCTGCTATGCTGCATTGCCTCTTGTAAGATAGAATGCTTGTCCTGAAGAACCTCACCATCTTCTAGGATGTTTGTATGACAGAAGTAGAGGGTTGGGACAGGGGATTTCTGAGAAAAAGATTTGGGGTCATATTATAAATAGCTTTAAATGGGAAGATACTGCCATGTCTTGTGTATATTAATGGCACTTTTCATGCACTGCTTGTGGGCCTGTAAAATGATATATATCCTTTCTGGAAGGCAACCTGGTAAAATGTAACAAGAGTTTTTAAGTCTATGATTATACATTTAAGAACCAATTTTGAAGAAATAATCCAACAATGGCACAAGAGTGGTCAATGCAGTATTTGCTTTTAACATGAAAAATATGAAACCAATGAAACATCAACAATCAAGAGTTAGATTAAATAAATAAAAATTAGGTTTTCAAAGCATTTAATGTTATAACAAAATACTCAAGATACAAGAGTAAGAAACAGACCATAAACATGTAGTATATTATAATCATAATTTTTGTTGAAAATGCATTAATATATACATAGAACGAGGGGAAGGAAATGGGTCCAAATGAATGATTATTTCTAGGCAAAGGGATTGTGGGTAACTGATATTATTCTCTGTCTACCTCTCTGAAATTTCCAAATTGCCTATACTGGGCATGTACTACTTTTATAATAAAAGAAAATCTGTACAAGTCATTAAGGGGAAAAGAGAATGTTGTAGTCAACCAGGTCTGAGAGATAATAGGGACTTGAACTTAGGTGGGAACAGAGGAGATTGACGTAAGAGACATTATTAAAGGAAATCAACTCATTATGATTTGGTGAGTCTGTGTGGGTGATGAGAGGTAGGGAGAATAAAAAATAATTTCAAGTTTTCAAGTCTGAGTAATAGCGTGAATGATGGTAACATTGACAGCAAAATCAGATCAATTATCTTTCTCAGAGATGAGAAAATTGCTTTTTTCAATTTGCTGTCTAGAGGATAATATGTTGTTTTTGTCCCTATGAGTCAGATAATTCTGTAATTTGGTGACGCAGATATACTGACAATATGTGGACCATTAAAAGCACAAGGTATTTTTGTTTTGTCCATTGCAGACCATTAAACAAAATCAGTTCTTAAAAACTGAAAGTATAATAAAAATTCCAGAGATGGGGAAGGGTAAGAGAACAAATTTTTATATCTGCTTTTAACCAAATGAAAAACTCTGCTTTCTTCACATGGCATCAATTCTCACAAATTGGACTGCATATGCTGCATATTCTTTTACTTCTAGAGTCATTGAATTATTGAATGAACATAGCCCTAGAGGTCATCTAATGAGGTGGATATTGACATGTTTAATTATTTCCCTTTAATTATAAATGTTCAAAACTGAAGATTCTCACTCCTCTCTCTCTCTCTCTCTCTCTCTCTCTCTCTCTCCTCTCTCTCTCTCTCTCTCTCTCTCTCTCTCTCTTTTTGATATGGAGTTTTTGTTCCTGTTGCCCAGGCTGGAGTGTAATGGTGCCATTGCAGCCTCCACCTCCTGGGTTTCAGTGATTCTTCTGCTCCAGCCTCCCAAGTAGCTGGGAAAACAGGTGCCCACAACCACACCCAGCTAATTTTTGTATTTTTAATAGAGATGGGGTTTCACCACATTGGCCAGGCTGATCTTGAACTCCTGACCTCAGGTGATCCACCTGCCTTGGCCTCCCAAAGTGCTGGGAGATTACAGGCGTGAGCCACTGTGCCTGGCCTCATCTCCCTCTCTTTAGAGAGAGGGACATTAGGAGGCACAGAGAAGTTTCTCAAGGACTATCACTGTGTTAGGCCAATCTTGTATTGCTGTTATTGCTATAAAGACATAACTGAAACTGGGTAATTTTTAAAGAAAAGAGATTTAATTGGCTCATGATTCTGCAGGCTTCACAGGAATTGTGGTGCCAGCATCTGCTTCTATTGAGTACCTCAGGAAGCTTACAGTCATGGTGGAAAATAAAGGGATAGCAGGTTTCTTACATGGTGAGAGTGGGAACAAGAGGGGGTGGGGGGTTGCCATATACTTTTAAACAAACAGATCTCATGAGAAGTCACTCACTGTTGTGAGGACAGCACTAAGCCATGAGGGATCTGCCCCTGTGACCCAAACACTTCCCACCAGGCCACACTTCCAATGTTGGAGATTACAATTTAGTATGAAATTTGGCAGGGGCATATATGCAAACTCTGTCAGTCACATAGAGAGGTAACTGCAAAACCTGGACTAGAAGCCATGTAGCCCAAAGTTACCAACTTCCAATCCAAGGAAATAATCCTTGTCCTTTTTTAAACACTCTCTTCTTCTACACTGCACCATTGATAGTGGTTCTTATAAAAATTTCTTTAGTTATGGCGATAAATAAATTAAATCTTCAGTATGGTTTTCCTTAAAGTTACTAGTGTTTTGATGATGTTTTGTTCATTACTGTAGTAACGTTTTGGCCAACAGCATTTCTTTCTGTTGCTTTGCTATTTGCCTTTTCCTTGTAACCAATTGGGCTGCTGGCCATACTGAGGGGAGGTAAGGGGAGTTGCAGAGGGAATTGCTTTTTCTCTCTATCTGCATTTCTTTTATCCATAAAAAAGATCTAT